GTTTGCCAGCATCTGACTCCCATTCTGCTTTAATTGTTGTGGGTGTAGACTGATGCTAGTGATGATTTCAGTCTCCTCATGTGGCTAAATTGTTTGAATATGTTTGACAACTACATTAAACATTTCAGTGTTGGAAGTGCAAACATGTTATAATGCTTAATTTGAAAATTTTACACTTGTGGTTTTGGAAAATAATATTCCAATAATTAATATATAATATTCCCATAATTATAAATACAAGCTGTGCCAGGAAACATGAATAATTCCCATGTAAGAAAGAGGGAATAATCTCTTTATAAAGCAGAAAGAAAATGGGAAGACACAATGGTAAACAGGGGTCACCAGTGGTAGGGCCAGGGAGGAAACTTATCTACTGGTGAAGCCAGAGCAAGGTATGGATTAAAGCCAAGCACCCATGAGCCCAGGGCTGACTCAGTTGTGAAGCCTCCTTTGCAGGAGATAGTCACAGCCCAGGGTAAGCATGGAAGGGACAGAACAAACTCAACAAATCAAATGATTTTCACTGAAGGAACAGAAAAGTAGAAAAGGCTGAAAAAGGCCTTAAGATAATATTTCCCTAGAGAGATGAAGGAGTGGTAAAGGAAGAAATTATATCCATTATATAAGAACAGAAGACTGCTCAAGAAAGATGGCTGGTCTGAACATAAAAGACCTACCCACTTTCACTTCCTCCTGAAGCTTCATTAAAACATTATCAAAGGTAAACAGATTAATACAATGGGATATTACTCAGCAATAAAAAAGACGAACATGTATGGATCTCAGAAACACTATACTGACTTAAAAAGCCAGATACAAAGGCATATAAGACGTACAATGTTACTCTTATGAAATTCTAGAGCAGGCAAAACTAATATATGGTGACAGAAAGCCAATTAAGTTTTAAATGGACCTGGGAGATGAAAAGATTAATTGGGAACCTTTTGGAGTGTGGTGTAATCAGAGAGAAGACAGGTGGATCTGATTATCAGTAATGAATTGTTTCTGTTATGCTGTGTAATACCTCAATATGAATAGTGAGTGCTTCACCCCAAGCACCTTGCAAAACCCCAACCCAGCCTTTTATACAAGTAAAGCTTGGACATGAAGGTATAAATATTCTGCGTTTCAACTACTCATTGATAAATACAGTTGACATCACGTGTTACTTTTCCTTCACTTCTTCATGTTTGTATTTACACACCTAAACATAAATGTTCATTAATATTTCCTTCTGAATAGTCATACTGTATTGTAGTTTTTAAAAATTATGGTAAAAAAATAACATAAAATTTACTAACAACCATTTTTGAGTGTACAGTTCAGTATATGCACATTGTTGTGAAACATTTTGCAGCAACTCCCCATTACCCCCTTTCCCCCCAGCCCATCATACCCACCATTCTAATGTCTGTTTCTATGAATTTGACTACTTTAGATACTTGATATAAGTGGAAGCATGGAGTATTTGTCTTGTTTCTGGTCTATTTTATTTGGCATAATCATCTTAGTTCATCCATGTTGTAGCAGTGACAGGATTTCCTTTATAAAGGCAAAATAAAATTCTGTTGTATGTATCTACCATAATTTGTTCATCCATTCATTCATGGATGGACATTTTAGTTGCTTCTGCCTCTTGTATATTGTGAATAGTGCTGCTGTGAACACAGATGTGCATATATCTTTTTAAGATTCGACTTGCAATTCTTTTGTATATATACCCAGAATTGGCATTGTTGAGTCATAGGGCATTTCTATTTTTTATTTATTTTTAGGAATCACCATACTGTTTTCCATAGAGGCTATGCTATTTTTTGTTCCCACCAACAGTGTACAAGAGTCCCAATTTCTTCACACCCTTGCCAACATTTATTTTCTGTTAGTTTTTATAGTAGCCATCCTAATGGGTATTAGGTGATATCACATTTTGATTTTTATTTGCATTTCTCTGTTGATTAGTGATATTTCCCTCTATTCCTTGTATGAGGAGGGGTGTTTTTTTAATTATGAAAGGGTGTTGAATCATGTCAGATGTTAAAATCTGACACCAGAACCTTCTTCCATACAAACATCTGTTTTCTTTTCCATTTTCCACGGGACTTGTAACAATGAATACAAATAACACATATTCCTTTATTAAACACCAGACATTGTGCTAAGTACCTGACCTAGTAATAGCTAAGTTGCTTATGAGGCTTAAGTCACAGGCATTTCTCCAGGTGCTTTCAGTGTAATTTGGAAAGAAGTAAAGTTGGCTTAAACATCCCAAGTGAAAGGCACTAGCTGCTTTATAATACCCCTGTTAACACTTTTCCTTCTGGCAGCAAGACTGTGAGACAGGGATGGTGCTGAGGTGCAAACATTCAGTAAGTGGACGTGTGTGCGTGCGTGTGTGTGTGTATGCGTGTATGTGCACGCATGTGTATGGGGGTATGTTCCTCTGTGGCTTTTACCACATGCCGACTCTCCTGAGATTCCCAAAACAAGGCCATTCCTGAGATTTCCTGTGTCTGAATCACCTTGATGAGTGAGGAGGTTTCTGGCCCTATTTATGCACCTGACTTTAGTTGGTTGGTTCTGAGAATTGTTGAAGCTGTTAGATGACTTGCTTTTATACTTTTTCCTTGGCAGTGTTATTGCTGAAGTAATGTCAGCTCTCAAAAATTACTCTGGCTATTCCTATAAACTATATGTTGACTACATATCCTTACTGCTCCCTTTAGTATTTGATATTTTACTCTCATTGATGGATTTTCATGAAAATGGGTTGATTTCCTAGCATTCACCAAAGGTGACTGGTAAGGTCCCTCTTTGTTGTTATCGTTGTTTACTAGCATTATAAACTCATGGTTTTTAGCATGTTGATGGGCCTAAAACAATTGTTATACAGTTTTCAGCAGAATAAAGTGATTTGACCTACGCTCTGCTGCTGGGTTGAAAACAGATGGTGAGGGGGCAAGGATGAAAGCAAAGGGACTAGTTGGAAGGAAGTATAATCCAGGATATAGATGTTGGTGTCTTGGCCAGGGCAGTAGTAAAGGAGGTGGTGAGAAGTGGCTAGATTCTGGTTATACTTTGGGAGAGGGGCCTAGAAAATTTCCTGATTGATGGGATGTGGAGTGTGAGAGAAAAAGAGCATTCCAGGCACCCTCCAAGTTTTGGGGACTGAGCAAGTGGTATTTCTGGGTCAGACACTCTACCCATGTTCAATTTTACTTCCAGTGCCAAACATAGATGGTCTTAAAGGCTGTGAGTTATAGGATTGTCTAGACAGCGGGCAACAAAGTGACAGCAATGACTCCTCAGAGGAGTTCATCTGAGGCCTGGTTATCACCAATACATCGTGAAATAATCAGCAGTGAACGGATTTTTACTCATAAGTAGACCTGAGGCAATATGGAGTAATTAATGTAAAAAATGTACAACACACAAACCTGGCAAAACTTAAATACTACACCCTAAAGGAAGCTGGTTTCTAACAGTCTAACTCCTGTAATCTTCCCTACTCCCAACCACTAGTGTTGTTCGCTGGTACACAGTTTCAGTTGAATGAGGTAAAAATAAAACACTCTTAGTGAATCTACATATGGGAGAGAGAACTGAGACTACCTCATTTCTATAGATTCCAAAAAACTGCCAAATCCTTCCACATGGTGAATTACATTCTTGACAGGAGTGTTTGTGGGGAGAAGGGTAGGCAGCAACACAACTAGGAGTGAATAACTGTGCAACATAACCAAGACACTTTATGAGCATACCTGTGGCTACATCTCCAATCAGGTAGATGTCAGAACAAAGAAACTTAAGAGACAAGAGACCGCATTATATATAGTGATAAAAGAATCAATCTGCCAGGGAGACATAATGATCCCAAGGATGTATGTACCAAACAACAGAGGCAAGTAGTACACAAAGCAAAAACTGATGGAGCTGAAAGGAGAAATAGCCAAGTCCATAACCATAGTTGGGGTCTTCCACAGCCCCTCGCAGCAAATGATAGAATTACTAGAGGGAAAATCAGCATATAGGAGATCTGAATAACACAATAAACTAACAGGATCTATGTGACAAATAGAACACTCCACTTAACAGCAGCAGAGTACAATATTTTTCTAGTATCTATGTAACATTCACCAAGACAGGTCATCTCCTGGGCCATCAAACAAACCTCCACAAGTTTAAAAAGAATTGAAATCACATGGAGTATGTTCTCTGACCATAGAGGGATCAAATTAGAAATCGATAATAGAAAGAGAAAAGAAGAATCCCTAGATATTTGGAAATGGTAATGGAAACATCATTCCAGTTTGTTGTCCAGACCCTTGTTATAAAGAGCTGAGGTTAGAAAGAGCTGTCTCCTGAACTCAAAGGCATTTCAGTGGGCAAAGAGAAAGCTCACTCTGGATATTTCAAATAGAGTATTTTTGGGGACATGGCAGGTGGGAGGAAGACAGTTTAGGAGGCTAATACTTCTGTTCCACCTGACATTAAAGCTTGTACTGCAGCAGCAAAGGAAGCACAGCTTGCTGAGTGTTAGTGGAATCAGTGTGGTGGCTGACTGGGTTTGGGAAGCATGAGAGAGGTTGCTTCCCATGCATTGGTGGGGTTGTTAGAGAGCCCTGACAGAGAGAAGATTCACATGACTTCCTGATGTATGGCTGGAGTTCACTCTAACCCATGGATGCATACACCTCTGTTCTTTATAAATCCTGATCCATTTTTAAAGGGTTCAACACAGTGACCTCCTTCTCCTCCCCTCTCCCATCCTCCTTCCTCACCCTGCATGATTCTTCCCCTGTTAGCACCATCTGTCAGATAAGGCTCTACTATCTGGACAGGCAGAGGTGTTTCCTTCTTGGGGTTTGTGGGACTGGTCTCTTATGGCAGGTTGGCACTTTGTTGCCCTCACATGGTATTAGCCTAAGGTGTGGTACATGGTAAGTGGCCACAGACATGTTTCCAAACTTGTATTTTTGTTGCTTGTTTCAGAGGACAATGATGGTGGTAGCTCACCTCAAGGAACAAAGAAAGATGGGAGTTCTTTTCGAGATAATTTTGGGAAGAGGACCCGCCGTCAACATGGTGGGTATGAACTTCAGCCTTCACACCTCCAGAAGGATGATGGAAACGTGGAGATGAGGGGAGTGCAGAAGTACCAAGTCAGACAGTAAGTGACCCAGAAGCCTGATTTGCATGTAGCAGCCCATGCAAATGGGCTTTTTCTTGTCTCGCTGGAAAACTGAAGAATGCTAGAAGTGAAATCATGGTTGAACAATCCTAATTGTAGTCTGGGTGTCAGAGATGCAAGGATATATAGAAGACTTTCTTAACATTCATGGCCACCCTTTTTCTCTCCACTTTTCCCCTGCAGCACTCCCTATACCATAGGACATGAGAAGAGGAGAGTGCATTGGCATAATGAAGGCGGTCTCCATGTTACTCTGTGGAGTAATAGAAAACATCTCAGGAGTGAAATGCTGGAGAACATACAAGATCGATCCCTGGGGAGTTGGTTCAAGGTCACAGTGAGTGTCCTGAAAAAAAGTATGAAATGTGCAGGAGAGAAAGTTCAGGTGGACTATGTTGGTCTCATGTAGAGACACTCGGTACTTTGCTGGGGACAGTTTACAGTCTGCCCCTTTTATTAATCATTCATCTAAGGGCAAATTCAGAGAAGCAATATAAGGAAACAGGCTGACTATATGGAAAACAGAGGAGGCTGTCTAAGGGAAAGGTGAAACTACAGCCAAGGAAATGGAGCAAGTCCACACTGGTGTCTGTTTGGCTCAAGCTGAGTGTGGGAGATGGGGGGGCGGGGGCGGGTCTCTGGAAAGCTTCTCAGAAGGACGAGTAGTGTCCTAGATAGGATATCCTGGAATTTTATAAAAGGAAGAAAATGTCTAATCCCTTAAGTTGATTTTTGGGAGGAGAGCTTTAAATGGAGAGATAATGGATTTAAGAACTCTGTATTTGGCACAAACATAAGAAATAATGCCAGTGGTCTCTTGAGAAGCCCTTTAAAGCTTATTAGAAGGTAGGAAAAGAACACTGTGTTGGGTCTGTTCTCCAACCTTCTTTCATGTGTCCCTCCTGTTTCAGTACCCTTCATTTCACCCTTAGGTTGCCTGTGGAAGAAAGTATGACAGGAATTGGCTAATGGAGTCAATCCAGAGCCATTGCAGTGTCCCCTTCACTCCAGTGGATGTAAGAGAGGATGGTGAAGCCAGTTGAGGGGACACAGGGAAGGGGAAGAGACCTGGCTCAGATGGGGTCATTGGCCTCTGACATTATTGTTGTTGCCTTCAATCCCTGTAGTTTCACTATGTGAAAAACAGGGCCCAGTTCTTTGTCCAGGATGCTAACACTGCCTCTGCATTGAAGGATGTCAGCTATAAGATTTGTGATAAGGAGAACCGAAAGGTGTGTGTCGATTTCATTATCTGTACTTAGTCCCTGGGCAGGAGGACAGACAGAACTGGTCACCTTCCTGTAGGACTAGAGTTCCTGGTGCTTACCCCACCTCTCTTTCCTTCAGATCGCTCTCTTTGTCAATACATCTGCTGTACCTTACTCTGTGCGGGATAAGTTGGAGCCAGAAAAAATGGAAAAGCTAAAGGTAATGCAGACTCAAGGTTACATGTTTGACCCTGAGACTCACCTGTTCCTCCTCCAGCCATGATTTCCCTGTCACAACGACAGCCTTAGAGCTCTCTCTCCATCTCCCTCTGCAGCTGGCCATGAGCAAACGATATGATATCTCTCAGAAAGCTCTTGATCTCCAGTTGCTCCGCTATGACCCAGGTACAGTTGACAGTAGTAATTCTAGGGCAGATAAAGGCAGAGGGTTCTGCCTGGGTGGGAGACTTAGGGATGGTGGCAAGGGAGGGTTTGGTGCTGGTCCTAGACCACTTGCGGTCTTCTAATTGCCTACTCTCGGCTTTCTGAAGACTTGGTGGGCCATGATGTTGATATAATCCTGAATAGAAGAAACTGCATGGCTGCCACCCTGCACATCATCAGAAAGAATTTCCCTGAGGTGAGGCTTTAGACCCAGTACTGGTGTTATAGTAGGGGGTGGAAAAGATGGGATGGAGGGCAGATTTGTCTCCAGTGACCTAGATAGTAAACATCACTCTAACTTCTTTCCCAAAGCTGCTGTCCTTGAACTTGCACAACAACAGACTGTGCCAGCTGGATGGCCTGTCTGATATTACACAGATGGCCCCTGCAGTCAAGATTCTGAACCTCTCCAAAAATGAGGTGGGAAGAGGGACAGATCAAAGTTGGGTTGAGAGTGGGTGGTAGTGGTCATCAGAGTAATGACAGGAGGTATGTGAAGGTACCAGTCGGGGAGACAGGAGGCTGTGGGTTCAGGGGCTTGGATGTCCATTTTCCCTTGGACTATTTTTCAGTCTCTCCCCCCCC